GTCTCTCTTCTTTTTGATTTGTCTCCTGTATTATTACGCTATCTGAGACTAACATAACATGTCTCGGGCGCAATGACATAATTTTTTCTTTTATGGTCTTTATCTTTTTCAGATAGTGCACTCAGCTATTGAGACAATGCATTTATGAACCCGAGCACGCTCTTTTTGGTGCTTTTTCCTATCACTATAGTCTTTTTGAATTTCAGCAGGATGCTTTCCCATCTACGAAAAGTATACAAGTTGATAAATGAACATACCTGTAAAGATTTGACGACAGAAAATGTGTGCAATAGAATTTATCAATTACGTTACCTATAGTAACGTAATTTATGACATAGAAAACGCAAGACTATAGCTTCAATTCAAATTGAATGATAGAAAAGTGTTTTTATATTCATTTTCACATTTATACTGACTGTCTTTATGCCATAGATAACATCAAATTAACACTACATCTTCGTTTTACAAGAGAGATACTATATTAGGTGTCATATATACCTTAAATTGTGTGGATTTACTCTACAAAGGTGGTAGTGTTTCTTTATTCAGATTCAAATGAATATGAATACTCAAATTTCCCGCTTTATAAACTTTATTCAGAGCTAGGAGTATGGTAACCGTTATTTTCGTACTACTAGGTATCGTAAATGATGGTGTCGTAAATGATGCAAATACCCCTTTGCTGGCTGTATTATATTCAAACAATGTCAATTTAGTTAAAAATACTGATCAACAAGGATCACTCCTACCACACAATAAGGTGATATAACATTAATTTGCTCAGACACGTATTGCCTGTGAAAACTATGACCACGTAAATGATTTTCTTATCTATAACTTCATGAAAAACGGGAATTATAATTTTCTGGCCCCAAAATCTCAACGTTTCAAATATCAACTTTTACGACTTTATATTAAGTATTCAAATTGGAATCCAGATACGTATATGGCACATATGAAACATTAATTTTTCACCAGTTTTTATATGATTTATAGCACAGGGGGGTTGATATAAAAAAGTCTGGCGACATTGGTCAAGGAACAGTTTCAACATGTTAAAAATGTCAAAATGATAGTTTCTGTCATTTAACCAGAAGCTGGGATCGTCTTGTGTATAATACTCCACTTTATATGGGATGTTATGCATGAAAAATTCTCTAATGGCACCATACAATCCTGATTTTTGATATGGCGACAGTCACGTAACTGATGAATAGTCCTATTCTAGTACATATAATAAAATATGTGTAACTGAGAAATCATATATTACAGGGCGTTCAATAAGTATTGCTAATTTTGCTATAACTTTTGGTCTGTTAGTTTTTCCTTCATGATACTTCCACAACGTAAGGTACATATATCTGACTATATTTTATGAAAGTGTCAAGACAATCGAATCAGTATTGACAAAGTTATGGTTACTAAGGTAACCAGTATCATGGATATGCGGGGCAAATTCCTCACGTCACTTTGGATGACATTATGAGTGTTGAAAGCAGTATAATTTATACCATTTAACTCTTGGGATATGAAGTGCAGTTACAAATAACTCATTCCAGAATAACTTCAAGATCCATATTAACTTCATGAGGTGCTCAAAATAGGCACCCTTAGCGTCAATGCACAGTTGCTGTCTGGCGACCCACTCGTGGTACACATTTTTGAAGCCACCCTTAAAGTGTGTGGTTAGGGGGTATTCACTGCAGACATCAGCTGATTGAGATTCTGGTGTGATATTCCTCTCAGATCCCTTTTCACTGGGGCGAATACAACAAAATCAAGTGGGGCCTTTTCTGGGAAATATGCTGTGTGGGGCAGTGCTTCCATGCCAAGCGCTGTTATTGTATTTAGGAGAATAGAGGATCTGTGAGCAGGGGCCTTATCCTGGTGGAACGTATAGGTCGATATTGCTCTTTGAGGACTTTGAAGTGTGTGGCTAGGGATGTGCAGTGTTCACTACAGACATTCGCTGATTGAGATTCTAGTGCGACAATTCTCTCAGATCACTTTTCACCGCTGTTAGATAATACATATAATTCGAACTGACAACATCAAGATTTGACCAAATCAACAGTTTTTATTCATCAACGTGTTTATTTGATGTATAACAATAAGTCATCATGAAAGCCCTTAAGGTTGCCCCGCGTATCCGTGACAGTGGTTACCATAGTAACCATAACTTAGTCAATACTATGTCGGGTGTCTGGAAATTTGGATAGAATAAGGTCAGATATGTGTTGCTTATGTTGTAAAAGTTTCATGAAGGAAAATGCAAGATAACAAAAGTTATAACAAAATTAGCAATACTTATTGAACGCCCTGTACAAACGTGCTAGGTAGAGGGTCATATATACTATTTATATATACAACAAAAAGTGATGTTGGTAATGAGAATGCTGAGATTGAGCCCTGGGTCACCTATTTTGCATTCTTATTGAGAATCACAAGCAATTTTGTTTGTGTAACTCAAATTTTGTCTTCTCGATTTCAGTCATAAATTACGTCAATATAGCGTGCAAACTTTGTGTAGATGTTGTCATTCCGGGATGCCCAAACGTGTTAGGAACACATACATGTAGATACTCGAATGATCTTCATTGGACATCAGTGTGCAGAGAAATCGTAATTTTACTGAGTGGCTTCACGAAAAAATAAATAGGGTTATAAGCCACGTTAAATGATATCTAAATTCTAACCTATTTGACTTAGATTAGTTGAAATTGCTAACCTTCAATCTTGTTTCATTCCTACCGTTCATAGAAACTGCAACGTCTGCAATAGGGATGTTGAAGCTATTTGGAATCTGAAAGTGAAAGTCAGATTTCAGGGGTCGTATCATAAGTTCAGTAGCATTAAAACTTAATTCTAGGTATAATTGATAAATCAATAGTTTCGAAGCTATTCTCAGTGTAAAAAGTGTTTGGGTTCATTTTCTGGCCTATTAATTTCATAGGGTGTTAATGAATCAATTTAGCCAAGGGCAAATGGGAGATCGTTCCAAATATTCCTCATATTGTTCCATTTTTCAAGAGATGGCCAGCGAGCATTTGATGCGGGTAGCAAGGGCAAGATCTCAGCCAGATCAATGTGTTGAGAAGTCTATTGTAAGGTGGCAAGCTATGTCAAAAGTTCGAGGCAAAAAATTCCCTGCCATCTCATGAAATGTATTATAATTAACTGTTTCATCCAAAGTTTCGAAAAACTCATATGGGTGTATTTCAAATAATCCAAGGACATCCCGTCCTTGCCGGCAGTTGTTGTTATTTAGCCCTATCTGTGGCGACAATTTAACAAGGAATACGGAGGAGGCGCAAATAAAAAACATCATCGCTGGAATTTTGTCATTTGGAAGGCCTTCTGGTGGTAGTGCAGCTAGAAACATTAAGCAATGCAACTAAAGCATGCCTCTCTCTTAGGGTCAAAGTATGCCTTCTACTAAAAATGCAATCAAAAACATACTTGACCATTTTTGACATTTTCTCTGAACAAATTGCCTAAACAACCTCATCATTTATATCAAAAGCTTCAATGGGTATAATATTATAATTATGAGAATAACCGAGTAGAGAGAACTAAGTATAGTATGTGGATGTATACATTCTTTAGAAGTATTTAATTTTGGTCCATCAAATCACTGTATTGCCACTGGAAACCAACTTTTCATTTCGTACACATTTGAAACCACACCTTTTACACAAAACAATTGTATTGTTTAGTATATTTTTGAAAGTACCTTTTTACCACCTAACAGTCATCCGATAAACCATTCATGAAGGAACAGACATATGAAAACAAATAACATAATCATTACTAATAAGTCAAATGGGTTGCTCATGAACACCAAATGCAAGGTATAGTAGAGTGATTTATAGACAATAACTGAACGGCTTCAAATACAATCTATAGTAATAAGAATATTCAGTGGTGCAGTTATACTTTATAAAAGATGTAACTGCATTGAGATATTTGTGCACTGTAGGATTATATATGAAAATACAGCATGCACGGTTGTCAATATACTGTACACGATAATATATGAAAACACAGTCATGTACAGTTGTCAATATACTGTACACGCAGATAAAGTTCGGAAATGAAATTTAAAATAGATTGTTTTTTCCAAACCCGTATGACTTGAACCCTGAAAGCTCACTTTCACTTTCCCAGGAAAGCTCATTTTCAGATTCCGAATGGCTTCAAGATCCCTAATAGAGTAACGTTTGTACTACCGACAAAACAGGAGATACGTTGAATTGATACTACCATCACATTTTCACTCGACCAAAACCGAGAGAAGTATGTTAGAAAAAGAATCACTGGAAAAACTAGGAAAATAATCGGTTTAAGAACGAGAGATATCTTGCAAAAGTGGCAGAATTCGAGCATTGAACGTTCACCGTCATTTTTCCGGATTTTGACATTTTTTGGGCTGTAAAAAGCAAATTGTGTTTTTCGTCAATTTTTATTCTGGGCTGTTAAAATAATTTTCATTAATATGTACTGATTTTAAGCAGGTTTATGAATTGATCTGGATGTACCAAATGGGAATAAGTAAGGATTATGAAGTAAGGGATTGCTCTTCCCATTTGAACCATGCAATTTGTGTCGAAAAAAGTGTTGTCAACCTATCAATATTATCCATACTATATTTTTTTATCCAAATCTTTAGGAACCAAATTAGCGGCCCCTTTTGGACATTAATGAACCTTTTTAATTTAGCCTTATTTTTCATTTTAAGCCAAAGTATCATGAAAATTGGGCTTGATTTGATTTGTTTTAAGGGTCCTAAATGCTAGTTTCAGATCCGCCCCTGTGCAACTATACTCATCCTTAAATGTATTGTGCTAAATGTATTTTGTTTTTGTGTATCGCATAAATGAATATTGAAAATGTAGTATTACTGGTTGAGTAAGCATACATATAAGACACGCATTTTAAACTTCTTCCAAGTCATTCAGCAATATCAAACGCTGTAAGATCAAAACATAAAAACGTCGAAAATGGAAATTCGAAATGTTTCCGGTAAAAGTGAAAAAATTGTCAATTATGACGACTCCAACGAATCCCAGGATGGTGCTGTTGCACGAGGGAACTGGTCAGGTAAGGCCAATAAAATATTTTTATAATTTTTCTGCAACGATTTGCCTGCCACCATAACAAGGGGTAGACGTAGAGATTTTCATTTTAAAGGACACAATTCGTAAATCTAAACAACACTGGTCCCCTCTTGGTTATAAAGACGTTACAAAATGGATGATTTTCCGTTGGAGAACATTTACTCTCTGGCAACACTGACGGTAAACCATTGGAGCGAGCTCATCTGCCCTTGTTTAATTTTTTTTTCCAGAATTAAAATCCTTCAGGAATGGAAAGGAAAAAGATACTAACCAGTGATTATTACATATGAAACAAACATTTTGATTGTTTTTGATTGTGTGTCTGGCTAATACATGTTTAATTTTTATATATAGAGGTCTCTGGTATATTAATCCTGCAATGCACAATAGTTAGGTGTCTTAATGTGAATGTATTTCCATAATTTTATAGTTTTACACAGTGTTCCAATGGCAAAGACAGATCTAGATATACAGTGAATTTGACTATAGTATCATTTTATATTATAATTAAGTACTAGTACTTACTATAGGAAAACTGGAGTTTTTGCTGTCTTGCCTAACATTTGCTGTTGGACTAGGAAACATATGGCGATTTCCGTACCTTTGCTACAGAAATGGCGGTGGTGAGTTATAATAATTTTGATATGCCAATGCAATCAGACTGGCTTGTTTTATTCAGTTTATTATATTATTTTGGAGAGCACATCTCGAGGGCAAATTTAAGAATTGCAATATAATTGTACAGATAAAATAATTATAATGCACTTTAAGTAAAACATATCCTTGGGTTATGGGTGATTTATTGAGAAAACTGATCCTGATATTGTAAATGTTAAAGGTAGTGTCCACTCGGTGCCAAAGGGATAGCTCTATATTCAATCAAAACTAAAAATTATACAAAGTCAAATCACATGCAATAAACAGTTTAACTTGTGGAAATCAAAATTCTGCCAAATAGTCAATTTCGGTTCAACATAATATCCATGAATGCACAGTGATCTCTTCATCACCAAATGAATACTATCTTAGGCTAAATTGGTTATTTTCTGGATATATGAGGAGAGTCTGACCAGCGTTACTCCATTTTAGTGCTGGACTACGCGTTATTTTAGGCGAGTCGCAGTCTATTACTGGAGAGGTTAAGCTAACGATGTTTTTCACAACGTAACCGTGAACGCAAAGTACAAAAATTAACAAAGGAATGTATCGAGCGCTCATAGTTTTATGCGCGCTTAGTCTACTTCAGATACTCTTTCAGCTTCAGAGTTTCGGGTTTAGAACGGGAGATTTGAATATTTGACGTTGGGTCAACGGGAACCATTTTACTCGTGTCTATTGAACACTATGCTGTCAATTTTGATTTCGATGTACAGTTGAATTCTTGCTGAACACGATGATGTATGTCATGCATGATTTAGCGCCAAAAATCTTACGAAACGAGCTCGTTTAAAATATGTATTAGAAAACCAGCTATAAAACCGCATCAATGACATACTATAGAATCATTACACGCTATGGTGTAGTCTAAACAAACACTGGATTTGAACGGCTATTTATATGAGAAGGCTACATGAATTTGTATATGGTCGAGTGATACGTACAGGTTCAGTTTCGATTATATATGCAAAGCTTAACCTCTCCACTGTGACTTCTATAACATAAACCACACTGATGTCATGTCTTCGTTTACTAATGTATATACCTATTTTTGATTACAACTCTTAGTCAAACGTAACGGTAGTGAAATAGAGAAGTCAAATACCCGGTTAACTTTTTAACCTTAAATACAAATAAATGAATGGATGTATTGATGGATTTCATTCGTAAAGACCAATAAAGCTGAGGTTTCGCAAGTGTCACATCATGGACATTATTCTAGATGTTTTGCTTTTTTGACAATTTAGTCTATTCAAGCCTTGTAAATGAGCTCACTCAGTTATAAAAATCACACGCCAACTGGCAAGCATACAACTCGGTCAGTCATTCTCAAAAACTGGGTCCATTTGATGTTCAGAGCAACAGGCATGGGTAGAGATTGCCAATATCCATTAGCCACACATCTGCATTTATTTAATTTAATTCCAATTTCCAGGAGCATTCTTGTTTCCATATTTGCTGTTCGTTGCCCTCTGTGCCATGCCGTTATTCTTTTTGGAAGTGGCGATTGGGCAATTTGGAAGTCTTAGTTCAATAGCAACATGGAAGCTGAGCCCATTATTCAAAGGTATGGGAATGATGGATTATTCAACGTTTACTATAGTTAAGCAGAAGGTCATACATGTCATGCATATTTAACATACATAAATTGTACGATAGATAATTTTTTTACTGTTTTTATAACTATACCTTTAGAAATGTAATTTTATTCAAACCTTGGATTCCGTTGACATCAGAAATTAAATTGATAATGGTAAAACACAGTATTTTTACTTTCAAAACTAGATGAATGCAGTATATGATATTTCTTTTTCTAGGTATAGGATACAGTATGACCCTTCTTGTGTTTGTGGTAAATATTTACTACAACGTAATCGTAGCCTGGACAATCTACTTCATCTTCGCTTCATTTACTTGGACTCTTCCATGGAGTACGTGTGGTAATTCATGGAACACGCCCCAATGTAGCTTAATAGGACAGGTGAATAATATATTGTTCATTTTGATTAACTTTTATTCATATCGTATGACTTCCCCATTGTTTTGCCGTTTTACTACTTGCCACAATCAACCTCACTGCCAGCATATCAAGCCAAGCCCAACTACAGTACTTTCGGGTGGATATCCTTCAAAAATCAAGTTGGCATGGTTACCAAAGCCTATTAGTTACCATGGCAACCGTGGAAATGGGGTAAAAAATGAGAGCAAAAAAGCACCCAAAACCAACATAATGGCACTAATTTATAAAATATTTCTTGTCAAACAATTTTTTTAAACTTTGGAATCATCGAGGACACTTCTAGACAACAAAACATGTCAAAAATTGGTTTAATTACCACTTCGATTTTTTTATATGATTGGTCAAAGTAAACCAACAAAAAGCACTCATTTTCACTATGCCAACACGTGAAAAGGCCATTTTCCCACTACTTTTGGTGTAATAATTCCATATATATTTCTTCAAAATAAAGGATTTTCCTACACAATTCAACATGTGGTCATTTTTAAGATATGTATCTAGGTCAAAAACTCTAAAACAATATCTTCTTTCTTTTCATAATAGTTGTCACTTAATACCTTCCATTGAGGCCATTATGCTATTTTTGTTTTGTTGCGACGGTCGACGGTTGGTATTCGGTGGCTGGTGTTGTGCGTTCGGCATCTGTAACAAATGTATGGTGGTGAGATTTTGCATGTTATTGAATTGTTTATATTTGCTAGGCCAACACTACATCAAATGGTACAGTTGACTATCTACTCAAAAATTTCACAGCGTACAAAATAGGGAATATAAATGTCTCAGTAGATGTAGCTGATAATGGAAGCACTTTAGTGAACACTACTCTAAGACGAGTGTCTCCAAGTGAGGAATATTGGAGGTATTTTCAAATGACTTTCCCTTTAATTCTTTTCTGGCAGTCGGACCACACCTTAAGCTTAAATCTTATTTGCACTGTTATCTACAATTACAGATTTTAAATCTACTATAATTCATAGTAACAAGTGGAAGGCAAGGGGGAGGGTAGATTGTCTACCGAGAGAGGCGGAATGTTTATTTAGCATTCACGTACATAGCATAAAGTATGTACATGGTATGGCTGTTGCAGATATCTTCTGAATGTATGGAGATGATGTGAAAAATATTAAGCAACTGGTCTAGCTACAAGCCCTTGTGGCCCCCACTACAACAAGTGTGTGAGAAAGTGTTTAGTCAAGTAGATGGGAGGGGGTTACAGAGACTTGTAGCTAGGCTAATAAACGACCTGTTTTAACTATTGTACATGTTAGAATGAAAAAAATAAAATAAATAAATAAAGATAAGATAGAGTATTAGAGTACAACAAGGGAATCATTATCATCAAAAAGTATTTTTTTACTTATTGCACATATTTGATAATATATTTTTTCAAATTACAGTCGTTATGTCCTCAATATAACTGATGGTATTGAATATATGGGTTCTGTCCAATGGAAGTTGTTGCCTTGCCTTGCGGCGGCCTGGATGGTAGTGTTTCTGTGTATCATCAAAGGCATTAGGACATCTGGTATGAAAATGTCATTACAGAGTGTGCCAAAAACGCCACTTTTTTCAAAATTCTATAACTTTTTTAATTTTGATCTAAAATCATAATTTGCATACCAAATGGAACTTGAAGATGCAGTCTAGCCATGAATTATGAATTGTACACTTTTAATTGAATGGAATATCCTGAATATGTCACCTGCGTCTCACTTAAACTCACGTCTCACTTATGTGGTATGCCATGAAAAATGAACAAAGTTTGCATAATGTACCTGAACTGATACGGCCTGATGACCACCGAGCTGAGTGAGTTTAGTGTAAGGGAAGATCTCCAGGAGATGGTATAAAGGCACCCAATCTCAAATATTGCTTAACTAAAGCTGGCAATTAAGACAGGTCGAAAGAAACTTGGTCAACATTTCATTGATACTGCTATATCAGCATGGCGACTAAGACTTAAGGCTATCACCAAAGAGGGTGGCGGACCAATTGAACTCCTCTTTTAGATCAAATACAATTCAAGTTGAAGGAATTGTTACATTACTTTATAACTTAGGACCCCTGGCACTATATAACTGCAATATTTGGTTATGTAGGTCGGAAACTGAAAAAGTTATAGTGTCTTGAAAAAGAGTGACGTTTTTGGCCCACCCTGTAGAAGTCCATATTGTAATAACCTTCGATAGCAAGTTGCTACTATAGTCTCAGCTGAAGTGTGTAGCCCTTATGGCTCAGGGGTAGAGCGTCTGATTCGAGAGTGTGTAAGGGCCTGGGTTCGATTCCCGCATTGGACATTGAGTTTAGCACACTACCTTTGAGTCTAGTATCTGGCTATGTACACTACAGCTCGACGGACGTGCCAAAGGGTCGGTACAATATCAACAGCCTCTCTATTAGCTGACATGCGAAGTGGAGTAATTTGAACCGATGCAAGCATATGTATCGTTATGACAAGAAAGGGAAAAATAAGTAAATGATAGTAAAACTAAATCTAACTATTACTGCTGTTGGAGTAAACGTGCGCAATTCATATGCATTCAATTTCCGAAAGTTAAACAAATGTCCTATTTCAATATAGGCAAAGTGGTATACTTCACGGCTACCTTTCCTTACCTAATACTCACAATCCTGTTGATACGTGGTGTGACCCTCCCTGGAGCAGCAGATGGTCTGAAGTACTACCTCATTCCCAAGTGGGAAAAACTTGGCAGCTTTAAGGTAAATATTACATATTATATTTATCATATGATCAACCCTAGCTTGTCAATGAATGGAAGCATTTTGCAATTTAAAGTATATGATCAATCCTAGCTTGTCAATGAATGGAAGCATTTTGCAATTTAAAGTATATGATCAATCCTAGCTTGTCAATGAATGGAAGCATTTTGCAATTTAAAGTATATGATCAATCCTAGCTTGTCAATGAATGGAAGCATTTTGCAATTTAAAGTATACTGATCTAGTTTGCACTCGGTCTGCTTCTCTATTGTTTTAACAGATTCCTAAGATTGGTCGTGACCACCAAAATGGCTGTGTACTATGGTTAACCTACTGCATGTTCACTGTTTACTTTCAAATTCTCATTATTTAGTACATAATAGTAATACTTTGTTAAAATAACAAAGCTCGACGAATTAAGCGTGCGATGAACTAAGCATAAAAGAGTGGCCAAAAACTTAAAAGTATGTTTTAGGTATGGGGTGAAGCAGCTATGCAAATTTTCTATTCGTCCGGTGTAGGTTGGGGTGCTGTTGGCACGATGGCCAGCTACAACACGTTTAACAACAACTGTCACAGGTGATTTCGTTTGATTCCAGTTGGCAGACATTATTCAATAGAATTACATACTCCTATCAGTCGCCATTCCACACAAATACGTTCAAAAAGCAAATCGTTCTGAGGTCTTGCCAATATGATACAGCCAAATATTTTAATTAATACAGATAATCTCAAAATGTCAATTTTCGTTACAGAGACTCCATTTTAATTCCAATCATGAATGCTGGTACGAGTCTATTCGCTGGTCTTGTGATCTTCTCCATTGTTGGATTCATGGCTCACGAAACTGGCGAGAGTATTGAGAACGTCGTTACTCAAGGTAGTAAAGGAGTACCAATTAACCAGCATTTTCATGTCGCACATAAAGTAGTGTAAGACAAGGCATTCACATGACAAATTATCACCACCCCTGAACGTCCTTGAAAATAAACGAAAGTTCAAATCCCAAATCTAAAGTCAGACTTGAACTCCTGAGAACTTGTAAATGATAAAAGAATTAGTCAATTTGAAACAAGTTGCTCACTAGCGTCGGCAATAGCCAACCAAGATTGAGTGTTCAGCAATGCTGTGAATCAAACTTATCAATCATGACTTTCATTACCTTGTTAAGGTATAGACGTAACCTGATATTTTAATGGTAGTTGCTAAGACGTTTGCAATTCTTGCTTAAATCCAATCCTTTTCAATTAAGGTCCTGGGCTTGCTTTTGTTGTATACCCAGAGGCTGTGACCAAACTCCCGGCTGCTCCTGTGTGGTCCGTGTTGTTTTTTACGATGGTTCTGACAGTCGGCATTGGTAGTCAGGTAAACGTTTTCTTGATCAAACAGTCATATTTATACATTTTGGTTTTTCAAATAACTTTGTTAAAATAGATGGAATCCTATTGGTTATTCTGATATGAGTAAAAATAATGGTTGAATAATTTATAACAATCAAAATTGATAAAAATCGAATTCGTTCATCATACGGATGTGCGACTGATGAACAATATCAGTCGCATATAGGTTTGCAAAACTCTACATACCACATTGGTTATCAATATCATGGTCAGTATCACATGGCTCTCTACAATATCACTCTCGTCATTAATATCATCGTGAGTATCACACGGTTCTGTACAATATCACACTCTTTATTAATATCATTGTGAGTATCACATGGTTCTCTGCACTATCACATTTTTTATTAATAGCATCGTGAGTATCACATGGTTCTCTACAATTATACACTCTTTAGTAAAAGCATCGTGAGTATCACACGGTTCTCTACAATATCACACTCGTCATTTATATCATCGTCAGTATCACATGGTTCTCTACAATATCACACTCTTTATTAATAGCATCATGAGTATCACATGGTTCTCTACAATATCACACTCTTTATCAATAGCATCGTGAGTATCATATGGTTCTCTACAATATCGCACTCGTCATTAATATCATCGTACGTATCACATTGTTCTCTACACTATCACACTCTTTATTAATAGCATCATGAGTATCACATGGTTCTCTACAATATCACACTCTTTATCAATAGCATCGTGAGTATCATATGGTTCTCTACAATATCACACTCGTCATTAATATCATCGTCAGCATCACATGGTTCTCTACACTATCACACTCTTTATTAATAGCATCATGAGTATCACATGGTTCTCTACAATATCACACTCTTTATCAATAGCATCGTGAGTATCATATGGTTCTCTACAATGTCACACTCGTCATTAATTGGGTGTTATATGCATAAAAGACAATAATCATGGGGTAAATGTATAACACTGATATAGTTATATATTGATTGTAGTTTACCATGGTTCAAAGCATAGCTGTCTCTGTTGTTGACGAGTTCAACTTGTCTAACAGGAAAGTACTAGTAACAGCAATTCTATGTATTGTAGAATTTGTCCTGGGTTTACCAATGATAATGCAAGTAAGCAGTACTTATACTTATTGCTTTTCAATTTTAGTTTAAAACTTTGTGGCAAGAATCATATATCATCCCAATGTCTGTGACTCACCCGTTTATGTTGAAATAATAATGGCATAATGTTACATCATTGCAAAACTCAAAATTTAACTGACATGCAACAATAACATGTTTTGATATTCTGAACAAACGGACGCAATTAATGCAAGTGCTATCAAGTCAATCAACAACTTTTGTATTGCCTTAACACGTCTAATTCTTTTCAATGTTTCTTTAAGATTTTGAACAGATTGTTTTAAATTCGATCGCTTGTTTTAAGGGCGGCATGTACGTGTTACAAGTGATGGACTGGTACGCCGTTACATTTGTCATAATGATTGTAGCATTTACAGAGTGCGTAGCAGTTGCTTGGATATATGGTAAAAACAAATTATTTTATGTTGCAGTGACCATCGCTCTTCTGAAATTGATTCATTCAATGCGCCGGCGGTTAATCATTGTGCTATCCGTTATAAAATTTACCATGCCAATTCTCTCCTTAGATCCAGGGCATCCAACATTTAAGAGTTGGTATTTGGTCACGTGGTATCCATGTGATGGATCCATATAAGGCCTATAGGATCATATAGGAATCCGATTTACTGTTTGTCCACCATTTGAATGTCATATGATAGATCAAAACATGGCCTGTAGGACCATATAGGGAATGCTTAAGGGAAGCCACCAATGCAAATTAATACCAAATAAGTATTGGAGCTACTCACTATTTCTGAGCGGTTCATCCAATACTTTTGACTTTTCTTTTTATCCTTCACATATGTATGATATTTACATGTAATAACGAGCACTCATGTCAGAATACCTCTAATATATGCATACTTTTAATGTCCTTAATGTCTTCAGGCATGAACCAGTTTTCCAAAGATATTGAGTTGATGATTGGTTTTAAACCATGCCTTTGGTGGAAGATGTGTTGGCGATTCCTTACACCAGGTCTCGTATTGGTAAGTTGCACAACACAAAGCGCGGAGCATCAAATAAAAACAAATGTATTTTAACAATGAACATAATAACATTTTCAATGGCATATTGCGCAAAAAAACATAGAATCTCAAGCCCGAATCTCAATCTTAATTCCTGTATTATAGTATCCCATGGCCACATATAGTATTACATCGCATTGTATAGTCCTGTTTTGTATTGTTTCGTCTTGTATTATATTGTATTTTATTGTGTTATATTATATTGTATTATGTTATATTATATTAAATTAAATTATATTATATATCATACCATTTCATGTTATAATATATATATATATAATGTTTTGCGTTACAGTTCATATTTTGCTTCATAATCATCACCCACGTACCCGTGACATACGGGGATTATACGTATCCTGACTGGGCAATTGGTGTAGGATGGATACTGGCTGTTGTATCATTTGTACCAATACCTGTATACGCATGCTATCGAATATACAACACAGATGCTAGTACTTTTGTACAAGTAAGTAGGTCACGAGCACACGTGCACCTATTTTGTGTTCTTTGTATCAATAATGTAAAAAAGATAAATACAAAAGTTCGAAAGTACAAACACTTGGAACGAAAAGTGTTGTAGGATTATATCTGCGCAAATAATCCTGAAATAGTTTTTTGATCCGACGAGAAGAACACAACATAACATACCATGAATACAAGTGTACTATGTCATAACACTAAGTTAATCATATTCGTCTCTTCTCCAGCGTTTACGACTCCTGAGAATGCCTGAACCAAGTTGGGGTCCATCGCTTGAAAAAAATAGAGAATTGTATATCAGTACACTGGATGAGAGAGTAAAACGACACGTTTTGGGACAAATGGACTTGGATTCGGCCTCGATACCACTTAAACAATGACACATCAGAAACACCATTTTGATTGAAAGATTGTATATTGTGTATACTGTTACCATGGTCGTAAAAGGCTAGAACATCAGGTTCTGTAAAATAAATTAAGCATACCAGTCTTAATGCTAAACTTTTCATATTGAAATAAATGACATGTATTTCTGAAAGTATAAAACATGACATAGCCCATCCAAAGAGCAAATGCGATTGAGGCATTTGTGACAAATAAATCAAAGGACCAGTTTTGCATAATTACAATAATATTAAATATACATGAAACTTTGAAAGTACTTTATAAAGGATCATTAACGTACATTTTTTCATGAAGAAAATCGATGCACTTTTTAAAGATGAAAAATATGGAATGCCCTAAAAACCTTTCGACCTTCGACCCGCACTTTCGAAGGTCGACCTATTGGGTGTCCCAAAAGAACAGTTAATAGGAGCTATTTTTGCCGATCTCGAAAAGCACTAGGGACATTCTGCACGAGGTTCGAGTTTTTGCGTATGCTCACGAATAGAGGTATTTCATTCCCATGATTCAAGTTGCTTTTAGGTGATCGGTTGGGATCGATACTTTTTGTTGTTTTTACACCAAACAAATTTCCACAACATAGGGTCATTATGGGAAGGGACTGATGTGAATTTTTAAACGTAAATGATATATTTCTCAAAATACATGTTCGTATTTCAGTCATAGATGGTGCATGCATTTTAATAATTTAAACAAACCAAATTTAATGATTTGATGTTCATGTTGAGGCTAAATACGGTAGTCTCAGGACAAATGAAAACCTCACACGAACATATAATTTGCTTTTAAATCGCAAAAGTATTTTATTGATTAATAAATAGGTTTTACAACTTTAATATAACGAGTTTTTAACTATGTTTCAGTTGTTGGATTTACACTAGAGCCCTAAGACGTCTTGGCCAAAACGTTTCAGCGTTAAAACGTTTTACAAATGTAATGTAAATCCAGATTTTCTCAAGAGCTCTCGGCTAAGAGCGCCTAGCTAAAACGTTTTACAAGCGAGTGTAAATCCATCGGTTTTAGGACTTATGTTTTAATGCCGATGCATTCTTTAACACAAAGCATAGACGCGGGAAAGGAATAGCTCTGTTGACTGACCCGTCCTTCAAACAGTGCTAAACTGCCTTTTTCAATTTACATGTATGCCTACATATCTCTAAAACGTTTTAGAAAAACATGTGTAAACTCAACCATATTTCGTAAGACGTCTTGAAAATGGTGGTGTAAACTCAACATAATTTTTCTAAAACGTTTTTTCCAAAACGTCTTGGAATGTCGCGTATAGTGTAAATAGGGCTAGTCTCTCATAAGCCAATTGCCGGCTGGGCTGAAAATGTTTTGGTTTTGTATGTATTGTGAAATTTTCATTCTTATTAGCGTGTGATGTAAAATAATTATAAAACTAAAAACTAACTAGTACTTGAGACAGGCTTTACCTTGCTAGAGGAAGCTCAAATGAAATCAGGCTATTGAAATAGCTATACCCTATAACAAAATCTGTTTATGTACAAAATATTAATGTTCATACTTTTTCGTATGAACTTATTTTTGTTTTGAAGAACAATCTGTGTAAATATTGTATGTATATAAATATTAAAAACATGCACATTTCACTGTATCGAAATTTATTGTAAATAAAGTTTGCGGGATAAATGTATAATATATGCAATCAATTTCGTAGTGTTCAACATTGCATGAATTACACGAATTATATTAGTAGGCTATATGCTATTGTAGAATATGCCTAATCTAGCTAAAGCCATTTTGAGCCACACTCCAACTTGTTGGTGAAGTGCATAAGAGTCCACAGTCTTGAAGCAAGAGTAGAAAATGCCTTGAGAACTGTCGATAAATGGCATATTGTTTATGTTGTACCTTGATCTATCACAAAAGAGTGACAACGGTTTAAAATGCAGATAAGACCTTAGATTAGCATTAGAATTTGTTCAGAATGTATGTTATTATTAAAAGTAGAGGTAAAGATTGTATCCAACTCCACGTGGTATGATAATCCCAAAAGGAAATTTGAACTTTGTAAAGATAGGAGGTATGGCATTTCGGTTTACCTAACCTCTTATCTTTGGATTATCATAATTAAAATTATTGTATATAAATAGGAGGGAGGCTAATGGACGAGCTCAAATAACTTAATTCTTGTTATTTTCACAAAGCTGGTCAATGAATGCTTGCCGATGAATCGCAGCAAATGTGACCCAGGCGAAACCCGGTCGCTGACCTAAATAACGGGCTAATGTGCCTATTGATGCCCGAGTCACACTTGCCCTGATTCATCGACCGGCGCCCGTCCGATTGATTATTTTGATCAAAACTAAATACACTTTGATTAAAATACTCAATCGGCCATATTCCGGCCGATAACTTGGAAAAAAGTTGACCCAGGCATTAGCAACATGTAACAATATCAAATGTTCTGTTTGCTAATTCGATTGAGCGCCTTTATTATAAATGATCCTTTCATTGGCATAAAAAGTTGTGTAACAATTGATCACTGTTCGTCGAATAACATATTAATTTTAGGAGATCTGCATTTGTAACCATTAAAGACTAACATTTTCTTCTATTTGATGGCATATTTGAATTCTGTATGTTATTTTCTATCAAAACAACTTTGATTTGCACCATTATTTGCCTTTAAACAGGATCTTAAGAGGTTCTGGACAAATCATTTGATTCTGGACTTGTCATATTTTTTTTTCAACGAAATCACATCCAAGGGTTGAATTTTTATTAGCTATTTAGAGAGTGAGTCCTGCCTAGTATTAATTTCAATAAAAAAGTTAAAATAGAACCCTATTTGAGAGTCAATCTAATACTTACATTACATTGATAAATTAAGGCAAATCCTGAAATATTTTTAAAGTGCGTTTTTTAATGAAATATTATCCAGCAAGTATTTAAATGAAACGGTCTTATTTAAATACAAATCATAACATGATATTTTTCATGAAACATTTTTCAATGAAATTCAATTGAAGGGTCAAGATAAAACGAGCTAATTTAGGTGAAAACCCTTACATGATGATGTGTTTTCATAACTTCTTTCATAAAATTCCATCAAGGGGTGAAGATAAAATGATCGAATTTAAGTGATTTAAGGATCACGAGAATATGTTTTCTTTGATATTTTCTATGAAATCCCATCCAATGGTCAAGGTAAAATTTTGATTTTGATTTTGATTTGGTCACGTGTTCGAAAGATCCATATAAGGCCCATAGAATCAAATAGGAACGTCATTTTGAATGTCACGTGATAGATCCATATAAGGCTTTTAGAACCATTTATGGAAAGATGAGGGAAGCCCCTGACACCTGTTTCACGATTTTTATGCACTTCATTATTGTACCGAAGTTTGCCGATTCGATTCGTCGTATGTCGGAATCCTGGTGACAATTTTATACTCCATTGGAGTATTTTTGACCTACTTCTTATGACGGAAATTCCCGAACCTTGTTCGGATTAATCCGGATTTTCTGACCTACTTTATCTACCGAGATTTCACGAGTTAACATTCGTCTCATTCCGGAATCCTGGTGACAATTTTATACTCCATTGGAGTATTTTTGATCTACTTTTTTCTGGATTTTGCCCTACTTATTATATCTTGACAACAAGCAAATCAAAAAGTTCGACATGAACGGGTCTCGATCAACTAACCTTGACTATGGAAGCCAGGCACGCTAACCATGAGGCCAACGAGCTACCGATATGAAAGAACAAAAGTATTATATATTTATACCGAGCGTCAATTCAAAATGATCCTCACTTTTGTCTCCACTTAAATACGACTCGTCAGTTGCAATTGTATCCAGAATAGTAGAACGCCTATGCCGCTAGTGAATAACCAAGTCCCAGGTGAGTGGTTCGTATCCCTCCGTGATATACTGTTTTTGTTTTATTAAATACGACAGAAAGGAGCAAGGTGTAGGTTGAAAACAAGACGTTAGTTTGTTTCAAAACAGTTTGGAAACATTAATCTCTGGAACATTATTTTTTCAACACTGATACAAATTTCCCTGACATTTCCCTGACATGTCTACCGTTTCAAAATTCCCGGTCATCTTTGGCCCTTTTGACCTAATTTTAAAATTACCTGACATTTCCAGCACTTGGAAAATCAAGTCAATTTCCCTGACATTTCCAGGTGTGTATGAACCCTGGAAATATCCCACTGGCTCGCCCTATGAATCGCTAGCACAGATTGGATTGATTAGTGTTTCAAAATGGTGGACGAAGTGTTTGATTAGATAATTTACATATTAAGCTTCTTAAAGGGGCAACAAGGCCTGTACATAGAAAATTCGAAATTTTTACATTTTCTGAATTTTTAGGGCAACATTTGGCTTTAACATCTTTTTTTATACATTTTTTCTTAAAATGTATGGATAAACAATAAAATTTCAGCATTAAGCAGTGCAAATTCAGTTCAAAGATCCGACTCGTTTAAAGAAGAATATCAGCAGCTTAAATCACGCCTTGTGATCATACAAAATGGATGGAGGGGGGGGGGGGGGTAGGCGATTTCTGCAAGAAAACTCAACAAATTTGGAAGATTTATTTTTTTCAAGATAAAATTTACAACTGAATTGCCAAATGAATAGGCGCAGTGCATGGCAAAATATGTAAGGTCTTCTAGTAATTTTTGAACTGATACGCTTCTAAGATATGAGATCTATTATAAAAGGCGCATCATCATCATCATCATCAACGTGCAAAAGTCAATGATTTTGCTATAAATCAGGCAACAATGGTCTACACGACCTGTAATAAATAGGTATGAGGGGCGTTATTAGAGAATTTTCGTTATAAGTTTTTTAACTTATACGTATACTTATACTTATAAACCCAATAAACAAGGTGTTTCATAATTTCCTAATTCGTCGGGAAATATCTCCTAGGACGGTAATAAAAAGGGCCAATGGCATACCATCCGTACCCCCTTGATGTAAAGCATGT